AGTCTTTCTGTTGGTTTTGCTAGTTTCAACAATTTCTGCCACCTAAATGTCACTGTTAAAGCTTTGACTGAGTGTTAAATGAAAATGAGGCTGCCATAGACTTATCTGTTGATGCAATCACCAATGAAATCTTGTAGAATGAGATACCACGTTATTGATTGGGAATTCAATGTGAATCCATTGTTCGACTTCATGTCTTTACTCTATAGGAAATTTGTCAAACTATGTAGTGAATGAATTGTTTGAGGAAAAAAGTGTTGAATGACGGTGCCTTACTCATCATTTATTTGCACCTGGCGTCCTTATGAGGTCAATGTTGTATATTTGTTTGTGACGGACATAAAATACTAGAATACAAACAACAATGTTAATGAGGAGAAGCTGTGTTGTAGCTATGGTTTGCTAAACTAACTTGTAATGGTGTAAGGGGTGTCCTTGGATGAGTCCTCACGCTGTTAGCTGTAATCACCTGCTTTTTACAGCTACTGGAACAACTTTAATTACAGCGAGCACATATCTACCTCTAATAACCCCTACGCTTTGCACATGCATCTTGGTTCAGGATTTCAACCTGACATTGATCTGTTAATATTGGGATTATTTTGAGCATTCATTATAGGACGCAGAAGGAAATTGAGATTTCATGGTCTAACTTTAAACGAACATGAAAATCCACTGGTTTCTAATAATTTCATATGGGAGATCAATATTTTGGACCCAAACAGAAATAGTCATTATTTATATATGCAATAATTTTATATTTTTAAAACTACAATATGTCCTTACTTGGAATATTATTAATTTAATCTAAAGTAATTTCTGGTCAATAAAATTTGATACTTGCTACAAATTGGATTGTTAGATTGTATTTTTGGAAATGTTTGCACGTTCCTATATCATCTATTTTTGTAATTAGTGAAATCATATTACCCGGTAAGCTGTGCATGGATCGATTGGGTCTGCCTTGATGTAATTTACAATGTACATATCTTTATTATGTTATATATTTTGAATTGATGTACATGTAATAACTGCACTTGCTCTTGAATGAGCCAAGAGATTGTAAAAGTACACAACTGAAATACTTATTGTAAAATTCAGCATTTTTCTGCTCAGGATTTTCTGATTGAATCTGCTTGTTATATAGTTAGAGAATCTGCCATCGACATTCCGCACTTTGCATGTGCAAAAGTAGATTAAATGAAAACATATTTACGAAGGAACATTATCCGCAATTTCTGAGTTTTCAAGAGACCTTTATGTCATTCTTACAGTTGGAATATAGTCAAAATATGAGGTATTTCTTATGAGGAAAAATATAATATAAAAATCTAGATGTTCCACTCATCAAATCCAATATTTTTAAATGCATATAAATATTGTTACAGTTCTAGTAGACAGGGTCCATTGTCAATGAAGATGTAGTTTTAGCTCAATTCTTAAGATAATTCATTTAGAATTTGGAGGTTTTGAGTTCAAATCCCACTTTACATTTAAACTTCAAGTTATTTCATGGTATATCAATCACTGTTGTTGGCCCAGATCTTAAAGTGCAGTGGTCTGAATGTTGGAGGGAACAAGAGTGCCCGGAGAATACCCATGTGGTTGGGCAATTGGGGAAACGAACCCTGGCTGCCTTGATGAAAGGCAAGTGTGCTTTCCACTGTGCTACCCGACCACCCAAAATCCCATGTTGCCATGGTTTTCTAATGATTTGTCCCTCTAACCACCATGTATATGTTCCCACTAGTCATCAGCTACAGGGATCTGTCCAGGTCAGCGACACATATACAATTAATACTTATTCTGCACATTGTCAATACATACATTGTAGGTTAAAGTACTTTCACTTCCATCCAACTGTTAGAGATAACCTGATGACATATATCCTGTATCAGACTGAGCAAGCATGTTCATGATTGGTCGAGATAGTCAACTTGTGTACTACATCTGATTGGTATAAGTGGGAGAGTTTTTAAACAAAACTTCCTGATATAGGAGGAAGTTTGAAAGAAGAACAGCTACAGAACCTAGCTAGCTAATTCAAAAGGCTATATACACATCATATACACATATATACACACATATATATACTGAGCTTGAGGCATCCTGCAAACACCTATACTGGTTAATCAGGATCTTGACATTTGGCACAATCACAGTTGTATGACCTTCACAAATTAGACTGAATGACTGGCTTCTGAAATGCTGTCACAGGCATGATATTATGGTTCATAAAAATGTACTATCATAAAAATTTATATTAGGAATAAAATTTAATGAAATGAAAAAAAGAAAAAATACATTCAAGCGACCAATTCTCCAGTGCCATGGGCTTTTTGATGCTGATATGTAGTCCAGTAATAACCATGATCATTCAATTGAATACTAAGTATTTAGAATTTGAATTTGAAGATTGTTAATTATTAACGGAACTATTATTCAGTAGAGCAGAAATAAGTATTTTTTGTTATTGTGCAAAAATCACACTACACAAATTAAGATATATTATGTACTACGCATATTATTTTATAATTTTACCCAAATCAAACCTAACTCTAGATCTTTAAATTTCAGTTTTAGTTATATTTTCAAAAGGTTGCTGTTTTTCCAGGAGCAAAGCATTCCAACTAACATGGGCCCCTGTGAAGGTATCAGATGAATGGTTGTCTGGTAAAACAATGTTACGCTTTGTTTCTACTTACAATGGTTATACAATGTACCTGTATACCTACATCCTCCGCAAGCGAAACAGTATGCATGCTGTGTATAACATTTTTTCTTTAACCAATTTACCATAGAAAACAAATTCTCGTCAGATATCTCTTAAATCTTGAGATCCTTGTACAAAATACTTTTAGAATCACCCAGGTTGTGTCTGCACAGATCATAAAACCAGGGTCAAAGAAATTTATTTTCGGGAAATGTTAAGACACTGCCTCTTGGAGTAATGACATTTTATGGTTTTGTGCCAGGAATATACCTCCGGGAGAGTTCTGATGGAGATCAATGGCCCCAAGTTTCCTGCAGAGATAGAAGTAATGGCCGATATCTCATACCAAAATTGATCATTATTTCACCGTACTACAGTACAGTGAAACCTACATTAATTGAATAGACATAAAAGCAATGAAGACTAGATTTGTCTTTTTGATTTAGCCAGATATACTGCGTTCAACTTCTGGGATGTCATATTTATAATATAAGTACACAAGCAGGAAATGTTTGTAAATAAAAGCAAATAGTCGTAAGAGAATATTCAAGGTTCTGTTACGAAAGAAGAAATTAAGGTTTTCTTAAGAGTTCAGGAATGTTCAAGGTAATTATAATTATTGTTCAACAATTTAGGAGCTACATTATGTCACAAGTTCAAGGTAGACTTGTTAGACAAGAGACTGTCCAAGGTTTCTAAATGCAAGAGCTAAGAAATCGTCTATAAACATAAGAGAAAATTTGACATCCTGTATTTAGGTAATATAAAACAAGGAAAATGTGATAAAAATGTTTCATTAAGTTTACAAATGTATGTTAATACTTCCTAAAAACTACTGCTATATGAAGGATTGCCCTGGAATTTGCAGATTTATATTGAGAAAGTGTCATAAATTTAACTAAATAGAGAGAAGGGCTTAGAATTACATGTACTTTTCAGGGAAATCAAAACTTACTGATGGAAATTAGAATGTATTTTATCATGTTGAGCATGTGTGTGTTGTTTGCCTTGTTATCTTTGGTATAAACTGTACATCTGATAGTTGAGAGAACTTTTAAAAGGGTCAAGTGTAGAGATATGCAGTCAGACACGTCTTTAAAAATGTGCTTGGTTGATATAATAAAAAATGTGAGGTTTTGAATTTAAGACGATGCTTGAATTGTAATATATGCTACAATGATTTTTAATGAGAAATTAAGAAATTTTGTATTAACAACAATTGAACAGAGTGATGGACAATCTGTCCAATAAAATACAGGGACCTGAAATGTTTTTACAGTAATATATACAACCAGGCGTCTATCTGTCAATATTTCTTAAGTCTAGATTTAAAGGATTAGAGGAAACTCTGGTTATTCTCATATATGTCATCATTAGGAGTAGCATTTTTACAGAAAGTTCATCTAAACCCCTTAAACGTGTAGAATAACTCTGAACACTTTAGTTTAGGTCCAAATATATCTGTAACAAATCTTAGGTCCCTATGCAACAAAATATTCAGCTAAGGTAATATGCATGTTCGATTCAACTTTTTTGTGTCTATATACTGGTATATAGAACATGAAATTTGGTTTGAACACAACTTCATATATTTTTTTTTAGTAAATCTGTTATAATTAAGCCTAATGCCAATATAATTAGTGATATATGCTTCTAATTAATGACACTACACCATATTTCTTCCCATTTACAATTTATACACTGGGTTAACTCATTCATCCCTGAAATTTCATAATGAACCATTTCAACCTTTTAATTGGAAGAGTTCAAATGTGTCTTCAGGGGTGAATGAGTTAATTAGTTGCCATCAGAAATGGTAATTGATTAGTATGGAAATAAATGTGTTAGAAATGATAAAGAAGACATTTACACTTAACAAACTGTATATATGTCTGGGGTTCTGGGCCCTGTATTGCGAGAAAATTCTCATACACGTGGATCTTCATTTAAGATTGGCTAGTGTTGGGATGGAGACTATACATAATGCAAAAAAATGCGGAGGCAAGAAATTTAAAAGCAATGGAAAGAGACTGTTTAACAAGAAATACTTCAACATGCTTTTATTGAAGGTATGAATCTTTGTATCATCTCTTCTGAAAATCCATCAATGTGAAAATAAAGTGGGTTTTAGGTTGCCGACAGACGCCATTTATATGTTTTAGTATATATGAACTTCTGATTTATGCAATGATTTGGTTTAGGATATGAACAAAATCAATTCTACTTGCAAAATCTGCTGGGAATTTTGTAATTTATGTTGAATTTGTTTTTATTTTCCCATTTTCAGGGAATGACATTGGGAACTAGAGAAGTTGTGACAAAAGAATCTTCATAACATGGGAGATACAACAAATGTGTAAAGACACAAGGTATGTATGGTATATTGGTTTACTTCATTCATCCTAAAACATCAAGCTACACGTAATTACGGGGTGCAAAATGAACATTTAATAATTTATAGCAGTTGCCGCCATGGGCACCTGAGGCTATATATTGGACTTCAGACGAAGACGAAATCTAGACATCTAGTTCTTTTAGCCCTGGTTTTGCCGGAGACAGTATGACAGTATATATACATATATAATTGTTTTACAGGGACATGCTATCTTCATGCAATGCTTTGTGTATCTTTTCTTGTCCGTTGAACATTTTAAATTCACATTCTGTTGTGAAAACTATGTGATAATTTGCCATGTAGGTAATGATTGACAAACTTTGGTGTCGTGGTACCTTAAAATGAGTGTTATAGAGTTTGGGGGTGGGTGGGTTTCTTCGTGTGTTGTAATTAGTCTTGCATGCTGTGATCTCAATTGTAATTTGTTCAAAAGCTAGGGTTGAACATCTGATCCTATATTTCACTGGGGTAGCAATCCATTTATTTATATCAAAGCACAATTTTAAAATGAAAGACGAAACCTTGTTGATGGAACTATGTTAAAGTCAGAAAGGATGTTTTATCAGTTCAAGATTAAATTTTGTACAGCGGTACCCTTTACCTTAAAACTTAAGTGGTTCAGGACATGAAGAAATCCCGGTCAAAGTGGTCAAAGTACATGCACAAATATACACAATTTGCAAAAGAATTTAAATACATTGATTGTTTGTGATTTCTTCTGCGAAAAAGCATCAAAGATACACCTTATTTGAAAATTGTATTGCATCAAAGCTATATTTATTGGCAATGTGCTGGGCGGTGATGCATGTAAACATGATGATAAAGTAAAAAAAACTGTGTGATGCTTCATACTTTAAATGTTACTGAAAAAGATAACGTTATGTAGTAAATGAATCATAAACGAGGCAGCTCATAAGTTAACGTTGATAACATTGAATTGAGGCAAACAGTTTTAACTCATTCACCCCTGAAGACACATTTGAACTCTACCAATTCAAAGGTTTGAATAGTTCATTATGAAATTTCAGGGGTGAATGTTAAGTAGCTTATAGGTGGTTATGAGAAAATTTGAAAAAAACTAAGAAATTGTTTTCAAAGTGGTGGGATGGACAAATATTAGAGACATACATGTAGCTATATTATTAGAACAATACTAAATATGTTTTGAAAAATGGAAAAGCTTTTAAGTTGTAATTAATGTTGTTTTCAAAATTTCGTCAGCAAAATGAAGGAATGGATGTTTTTTGTAGACGCCTGCAGCTATTATTAGAATGATTATATACTGTCCTGAGTTTTCAATATAAACATTGATGAAAGTGTTGTATTACTTAATTGGCAAATCATCTAATGAAATAATGCAGGGTTTATCAGAAAACGAATACTGTTGAAAATTTAGGTAGCTTGTTCATTTACTCATAGGTGTTTAACAGCGAGTTCGATCAGCTCAGTTGTATTAATTATAACCGCTAGCTATTAAGCGCAGGCAACAATGAGATCAAAATGACAGGTTGAAAATTACGGCATGTCTGGTTTAGAATTGGTGAACAAGAAAAATGGTGAGCAGCACGCCACAGCTGATCACGGGACAGTATAGACAGTCTGAGTAGGTCTATCTGAACAATTCAAAACACCACAAAGTCCCTTGACATTATCAGAGCCATGTCAGTTCCCTATTATGGGATGTTGTTTGGGATGTTATCATGTACATGACTTCAGTATTTTTTTCCCTGTCTGCTTCTAGCAATAGTCTGACAGTCTGTCTTAGTCTGGTGAGTTCACTATACGCAGATTTGGCATTCATAGATTCAAGTTTAAAATAAATTAAATAACAGTATCTTAATGACTTAAAAAAGTTAGGTTTCTATATGATTCTCCGTCCTAGAATTGTACCAATTATGATTGTGTAAGGTCCATCTCCAGTTTCAGTTGATTTAGTTAAGCCTAGTTGATGCAAAGGATTAGGAGAACTTATGCCATGGCATGTTATTTTTTTCTATTATCCATTGTCAACTTCAATTTTCCTGTACACAATTCACCATGAAGCAACCCTGTGCCAAGGAAATCCATTGGGGTATATATCGAAGGGTTTAGCTTTGAAAAAACTACTCCTTCTGATGGGGGTGATTTGAATAAAACTAATTGGCATTGAGTAAAAGGAAGTGTTCCAGCCTCTAGATCTGTTAGCTAGGGGAAAGCAGTAGGTTTTAATGGGGGAAATAGGGGTCGAGACATTATTTTACTTCAAAGCTTCAAACAGGTGAATTGTTTAAACTATTGTATAATCATGTGATGGTTTTTAGCAGTTAGCTGCTGCTGTTAAAGTGTTTTCCAGGGTTGATTTAAAATCCCAGCTGGCAATCGGGGTGGATCCTCTTTGTCTGATTGGCTTAGATATTTTCGACAAATTCTTAGTCAAGCCTTAATCAAAAGTTGCACAACAAATATTCTGACATGATGAAATAGTTGAGTTTCTGAGGTCACAAGTTACTGGAAATGTTTTAGCTTTTTGTGTCTAGTTTATATTCAGATAGCACAAGGAAAAGGTGAGCAAACAGGATCCATGGGCCTCTTGTTTTATGTTAATAGCATTTGTATGATGTATTGATGTCAAAGAAATTCACACTCTGTTGTATTACTGCTTGATAATGGAGATCAGTTGACAATAGAGGATGGTTACAATATTAATATCCTGTACCAATATTACAAACAATGAAAATGGATCCTGCAATGTCGGCTGTTGTATAATACAGATACGAGACCTATGATGAACACCTGTTGAGTGTTGCGACTAATTTATATCAGTCTCGGAGTGATCTGCTTCATCATCCAATTCCCGGGTAATGCTTTGATCATGAATTATTATGGCATGCAGTAAATTACCTACATTTTACTTAGTTTTTCTAACTTACCAATCTGTATATATGTTGGTAAACTGTCCTATTTCACTTAACGTATCTGACTGCTGTTACTTAATAATAATTGCTCTCATGATAGTTGAGTTCAGAATTGGTGCTTAATGTGAATATATACGAAATTAAATATCGCGCCAAATATAAGTCACTATGCAGTCTAACCCCATAACTGAGATAAATGGATAGGAATCATCAACTGTTAATGGATAATCCCGAATTATATCAGACCCGACAATGACAAAACAACAAGCATTAAACTGATTCTTCTAAAAGACAGATTTATATATATCATTGGAAAACTGAACGCAGCCTTCTCGGTTGTGTTGAGTTGATTCAATTGTTATTCCATTTTGAAACTTTGTAATTGAAAAGTATCCAAAACCCCTTTATTTCCCTTTAGTAGACAATGAGTAATACTTCACAGATGTTCGTGCCTATATGAGAATCTTATTACGGAGTTGATAGCTTTCTCCTCTTTCTCTTGGCCAGGAAGTCGCTTACAAACGAATATTATAACAGCAAAGTGTGAATATCTCTTACGAAAAAAAATCTGTTTTGTATTTTCTTCTTGGATTGGAATCTTTCAGTGTCCTCCGAGGGACATTTCGTATGAAATAATCAATGGTCGCTCATACTTTGTCTTCCCTTTATTGTCTCTGATCTGCGTGTATTGCGAGAAGATGTAGTGAGAAACGGTCAGATAGAATTTACACCAATCTGTGGTGTAAGTGCTATAGGTCCAGGAAATGCACTTACACATCAGGAGGTCTAGTTTCATCTTAGCCATCTTTCAGCCTTTCTCCCAACTTATTATAATATTATACATCAATTATCAATGAAATATTTCAATATTATCACTAATATAATTGGGCCTCTTGTTTAATGTTAAATATTGACAAAATATTGATGTTTAATATTTCAATATTCACATTAAGCACCAATTCTGAACTCAATATTATGAATACTAGATCAAGTCCAGGTTATACCTTTTGTATCTTAAACAAATTAACAAAATGTTCGTTATTTTTTCCTTTGTTCTTTTATATGAGGCAGGTATAAACTCTTGTGAAGAATAAGTTAGTTTAGAGAAAAAAATCATCCATGGAAAAATATTATAATAAGCTTTTTATCATAATATACGATATTTTAACTAGTGGATTCCACTGTGTACTGTTTTCCAACAAAATGTATAGGAATGTGTAGGATTTTTTTCTATAAATGCATTGTGCTTTAAACAGCGCTTTTGTTGAAGTACTAGTGCTATTTCGGCTTTGACTGGCCCATTTCAAATAAATTATCTTCATTAGATGTTGTAACTATTCAGTTGGAGACATCTTGGTGCAGCAATGGTCTACGATCAGGGCTAGTGATTACTACTGGCGTTTTGTTTTGGATACAACCCTGATAATGAAGCATTTGAACAGCTAAGCCTAACAACCGAGATCCTGACCCAGATTTACATGAAGGCCGACTCTGGGTAATGTGGTTCAAGGACAAGTTAAAGATGTATGTTACCTTACTGTGACATCAGCTCCTTAACAAAAGAGTTCCACCCTAACCCATGTGTTAAATGTATTGCGGAGAATAGTAATTTAGACTCGTTGATTTTACGTATAAACTGTACACAGGAACTGAACCATCTGGGTAATTCTGATTAATTACATTATTAAGGGAGGTAACTTAAATACACATCAGATTTATTATGTGTTTATATAGCATGTAACCTTGAATCTAACTTCTAAGTCTGGTGAAATGTCATGAGTGATTTTGTATTTTTCGTTTCCATGTCTTCAGGTTATATTGTTGTATGGTTATGACATTTCTGTGGTATAGCACTGTTTGTGTCCCTTTTGTGGCTCCATCATCTTTGCATATGTCTTTTTATGAAGCTATAATTGTTATCTGCTGTGAAGATCTATGCAAAAGCCTTGACATACATATGCACGAATGAGAAAAAATAATTTTGACATAATACATACAATTCTAGATACATTTTTTCAGCTTTTAGAAAAAGGTCTGATGAAGAGCTGTTGTTTCCTCGCATGCTGTTAGAAACATAGAA